CCCACCCTCTCTCTCTCTCCGTCACACACTAATTTCCGCCCCAAATGCAGACGCCACCAGACCTCTATATTATTCTCTTCTCCTCGTAGCCAGAGTAAAACGTAATAATTGTGAGACAACGTGGGGAAATCAAGCTGTCGTCAAAATAATGAAATTAAAGAAACCAGCATTTTCAGCCGGTTTGGCTTAAGTTTTTATTGAATTTTTGTTTTTGTTTTTTTCTTTTCTTTTCTTTTCATTTGTTTGTTGTTTTTTTCTTTTTTGCTTAATACCTTTTGTGTCCATTGCGTGGGTTTTACTGAAAAACGTTGATTAAAGGCACAAAATAATTGTGTGGCGTGCAAACAAAATGAGTTACTTCTCGCAATCCACAAATGGAAATATTGGCAAAGAATCAACACGGAGGTCAAATTAGTAGATCTTCTATTGATGCTCTATGTTTTTATGTATAACATGCCTCTTATCATTTCATACTTATCAACTGTAAAACTTCACTTAAAAGCCTGATGTTTCTATTTCCATAAGGTTTGAATTCGAGAAGTAAGTCATTTTGTCAGCACACTTCACATAATATGTAAATTGTCAGTTTCCAAGAAAGAACTGTCAAGCTATGCAAGCCCACAAACTTTGACAGCTATTTTCTCTCTAAGTTTACTTCTGATACCAGGCGACCACCACCTTCAATCGCAAATATCTCGTCTGTTACAATTTAAAATCGACGGATATTTCTTTCATCGTAGGCAAGACAAATGAACAAGCTTTAAGACGATACAAATGACTCCACATGCCCAAAAACTGAGTAGGCGGTTGACAGGTGCTCTGGGGTGGTCTCTTCCTCATTTTCGATCAATCAGCTAACGTTTTTATCTCTCCTATTTTTATAATAATAATGTGTATGTTTCTGTCTAGTGACACCTCAAATCTTCGACACGTATATCGAGATCCGCCAAGTAAACTATGGTAAGTCACGTTTTCCAAATTTTACAGGAGAGACAAAAAAACGGATTTTCTAGAAGCGTTTTAGGTGGATAAACTTCCTTTTCGTAATGGGAACCTACAAATGACATGACAGACATTAGGTTCTCTTATGAAAATGAAGTGTATCCACCCAAAACGCTTCAAGAAAATCCGTTGTTTGTCTCTCCTGTATTGTTTGAAAAAACATGACTTACAATAGTTTACTTGGCGGCCCTCGATATGACCTAATTGTGTAGCAAGTGCCGTAGAATTTTAACGAAAATATTTCAAAAATGTATCAAAAAAGCTGCCGAGCGCCTGATTCCAGCGCGACGTGACAGAATTTGTATGAAGCAAGCGTCCGTCACGTCATCGATCCAGACGGCGGGTCCCGCCAAGTAGTTCCCGCCTCTCCCAGAAG